CTTACAAGACAAAACCCCACACAAAAAATCCCAAATCTCCTCACACTACCAACAGGCGAAGTTTTGTTTGTCTTCTAGGCGGCACCCTCAGGAGAGCTGTATTGCCATCATATAAATATATACATATAACTTTTTACAACACTATAGAGTAAGAGTGTACAGTCTGTGGTATATTTGACCTTGTTCCAGGAGTCGTCCATGATGAGAGCTATGACCCGACTCAGTATGATGTGATATCCGGAGTGGCCAGATTTCAACATGCAATAGAAGCTAATCAGGATATCCATGACAAGTCGAAAGTGACCTACAACCTATCCGTCGTTGTCCGACAGTTTTCGCATGATCTGAGTAAGTTAGAGTATTTGGAAGTAATTAGTTGGAATTTCAGTATTCATACTCACATTGGTTTTAATGTACTGTTGATACTACCAGGGAAGAATGCATACATATTGTTCCTGAGGTCGGTAGTCTAAATTTGTCAATGAATGTGTCACGTAACTACCCCCACTATACATGTGTTGAGATCAAATCACCTGGGCTAACTCCTGACAGGGGATCGAACAGCATATTTCCATCATATACAGGTGCTGGAAATAAAGAAACCGGACTTTACTGACACATTGCTTAGCTCATTGGGAGCATTTGCGTTACAAAGCGACTTTCAACTTGAAGTTCTTGTATCTCGAGAAAAATGCTGGTATTCTAAGATAGAAATGCATCATACGTAATCGCATCCGTTTCTATGTATACAAAACGATTCTTTGCCAAAGAGCACTGCTGGTCTTCCAGCTGTCTCTTCTGTGATGAATTCAGCCCTCAAGAGAGACGTTTGGTCGTTACTAGATGGCCGTTTTTAGGCTGATATATTCTTTCTTATCTATTTAAAAAAGACCTGAGCAAAAATTATTTTCAATAAAGACATCACATACTACCCGTAATATTCAAAACTCCTTGACAGCCCACTACCGGTTTCGCCCTTCTTGGGGACCATTATCTAGGCGCGGTCACTGAGTTTCTCTATACGCTCTACCGGCTCTTCAGTATATAGAATGAACTGTAAATAAATCACCAGAAGTCAGAAATAAATCGAACATATGGGTAGAATCTTTACAGGAATGTGTGTACAAATGTAGTACTGTGCATGGCCGTCTATTGGTTACGCCTGGACTGAACCTCCCAAAGTACGCGATACGGATAAGACAGAGACCCCCGGATGCGGCTGCATTGTCGGGAAGAACATACAAACCTTCTGTGTAAATATATAAGGTCAAATGTAGTCGTTCACTTGTTCGTTCTGTGAAGCCAATGGTGACGTTTCTGCCGTGAACAACTTCGCACCCACCAAGCTGATCGCATGCTGCTAAGCCGTTTTTGGTGAGCTCCGTCAGTGCACCTATTGTCCGGAACTTGTGAGACCGATGGTGACCTTGGGGACGCGTCCCGACAACAAGCACGAGCGTTTACTTTGCAAGTCCTGTCCAAGTGACGCTTGAATTTGAGCAAAGGACGAGTGGACTGCGCATATTATTGGTTTGACACAACTCTGACTGCATTTTCATACACGAAGTGGACCGGGCCCCAATGAAATACAGAGCCTATACAAACTACTGGTTTCAGCTTTCTTGAGACTAATCAGGTAGATGTAACCTCCGAGATTTCATTACCCTATTTCCACTGGAACCTATTCTAACCGGGCCAGGCATTTTAAGTTAACCTAGCGTTAACAGGATATTATTCAACAAAGGCCGCCTCGTTGTTCCATTTGGATCCAGAACACTTCACAAATGAGTTTTTGCCGCTTGTGTTCAATCTTCTGTTCAAATAGAACATAACGATGATGGAAAAGAAGGAGTCTTTGTCCACCTGAGGAGTCGCAGGAATTGATAGTGAACAGTCGAAAAGTTTTCCAAAACCCTACATCCAGTGAGTCCTGCGGAGAAACCGTACGTCGACATCTCGATGTCGTGTCAGCCGAAACATTAAACAGCTTTCGTGCGTCACGGTCAGCCAATTAACATCACACAAGAGAGATTCAGCAGAGTTTATTGTCAAAACCAAACAAATCCACAAATGAGTGTATTTTTCCATCAACCTAAATAACTTCTGAAGACAAAAGCTCGGCTCAGGCACGGCTTTGGCTGTTTTGATGACAATCTTGAGTCATTCTGAGTTACGGCAGTAAATATATCCCCATAATCTGGTCAATATCTGGTCCCTTACTGATTTAGTGAATTCGAATCGGTGTGTGTCCATGCCACCCCCAGGGTGGCCAAGATGGATATACTCAGGCATCCACTGTGGCAATATCCTTGTCGCTCTTTGGTGTAAATCGCTTCACATCCACGGGATTGGTTTGGTTTCTCCGACCTCCATCTTGGCACTGGATAACTAGTCTAGTAGCAGCAAATTGACTTTTAAGCATCATTGTGGATTTCTTCCATGACAGGTCACTTATTGCGCCACCTTTTGGCAATAAACAAAGAACAAGCACTTTCGTGGTACATCGGCTTTCAAGTTCACCTCACATTTCATCGTCTGGCCCTGCCTGGATAGCAGTTGCCTCGTAAGTGTTCAGGATAGAATCAGGTTCACTAGGCAACGTGTGCACATCATTTGTCAACAATGATAACCCATCGAGTTTCTTCCCAATGTCAGAGAAAACAGTGGCTAGAAAGTTTGATGATTAGTCCAAGTTGGTTTGTCGTGAATACATCTTTGACGGCTCCCGTCGAATTATCATGTTTAGAAAACCGTTGTGCTCCAACTAGCGGTCTATTTGCTCACTCTCATGTGAACGCACAAGCAATAAAGCCTGATCGATTCTGGTTACAGGTGAAGATCACGTAGTCACCTCGCACCTTGAAGTGAGAATTTCGCTAATCATTTTGGGTTTTTATGCCGGTTTGTAACACGTCACATGCTAAGGTCCCCTGCTTACAAAATACCAGACATTTTCCATAGTGAAACTTGGGTTAGTTAATCCAGATATCAGTGTTTGTTTCTTCTGCTTTTGAAGATCAATGTTAGCCCTATACAAAGATAACCTCTCTACACTTTCGTCCACATCCCTCCTCTAGGAGACAAGTTGCGCTTTATTTCATGGTTGTTCATTCTTATATCTTGGTTAGTTATCTGGAGACGGTTGAATAGTCTCTTTAGGGACTATTCCATCCTCACAGGATAGATAATTTTCAACAGGTTCCTCAAACGTATAGTCCCTCATGGATGGTATCCTTTTAGAGAAGTGACTTTAGGCGCCCTCTCACAGAAGGACAGTTGTACTATTATATTTCCAATGACATATGAGCATTCAAACAACGAAACAACTCCTCTCTGAGGTGCACTTCTATTGTCCTTGAGGACGCTACTTTGTTGCCTTTTTTTACCTCGGAACGGAAATGACCCTTACACTACTAGGCCACAGAATACTACATATTATTATACTGTACTATACCAAAGTGCGCCGTACTATACTACACTGTGCTATGTCATAATGTACTATGTCATATTACATTATGGCACGTACGATACGCACCATTATACATGGATAACTGAGTGGGTAGGACTATGGACAAACTTTTGGATGACCCGAGTTCCACTCCACATTATCGCCTCCAAGTTGGTCGTTGGCCCCCTTCTCGATACCTTGTATAAATGCTGTCCCAGATACAAGAAAAGAATTCTTACTATTCACTGCACCATACAGATACTGTATTATAGTGTACCATACTGATATCCCCACTATAATTCTTTGTAAGCACACATCGCCTACAATTTCCCCATTTGTAGTCTGTACACTGTTCGCCGACGGTTTCCGAGTGATCATCAGCCTAACGAATTGCGAGACGGCCAGGTTCATCGAAATGCTCACAAACAGACACCATATTCTCCATCTGGCCATCCCGAAGCCTTTCTGTGAGGATGTCGGCTATAGTCCGCAGACGGATGAAGACACCCCATTTGCTACGATATGGATGCAACCAAGAACCAAACAAGCAGCCGATGTGATCTACACACTTGCCCAGATGGATTACGCTTTGAGAGCATATGTATTCTCAGACACTACAAGTGGTTAGTTGTGTTTCCCTATCATTGATTGCCTTTTGATGTCTTTGTTGATAAGACGACCTGATCACAGAAACCTAAATTGGCGACTGAGAATAATAAAAAGCAGGATACAAGGTTGATGGAAGCTCGGGCACTGAGTTTCGCTCCAAGAAGAACGAAACCAATCGTAGGCTGTCCGAGAGTTTTCAGCAACCTTGTGCGTAGTTTCCTTTAGGAAATTATACTGTGATATCTCGAATATCGTGCCAACTGAATCATGAGGTGGCCTGTGTCCAGCACATTCAGTTATAGAATATCATAAACGAGAGATTCAGCTGAGTCTCTCGTGAAAACCAAATTGATTTGCAAATGAGTGTATTTGTCAAAATCAGTCCAATTTGGGTTCAAGTAGAACATAAGGATGACGGAAACTCGGGGACTGCGCCTACCTAATGAGCCCGAACTGGAAGGGCGAAACCGGTCGTGGGCTGTCGAAGAGTTTTCAGTCACCTTGTGAGTAGTTTCATTTACGAGTAGCACAATCTACTTGAGTCTAAGCATGCCAACTGAACAATATAATTAACTGGGCTGTCTAGGTTAGGTGAGTAAAATCTGAAGATTTCCAGATAATCAAATTAGTGCAGTATCTATCCACCCTCCGTACAATATAGCAGTACTCATCCTAAATTCCAATAACCCCGTTATCAAGCCCTCTTTCGGGGAACCGGTTTCGAGATGGAACATGGATCAGATCGATCTAGGCAACCGATTGATTCAGTTAAGTTCCTGCGGTAAATTGGACAATGGGAGACGGCCATAGAAAACTGCTGGTGTATAAAGACCAGCTGACCTGTTAAATGACTGGATTACTAGTGAACACGAGCTAATGGTTGTGCGTAGGGGACGAATATATTAACTCAATACGGCTGAGATTTTGAATGCTGGCTGATTGGTGGGACCGCTTCTATCCATTGTTGCACAAGGGTGTTCATTGAACTCAACCAATTGGTATTAAGTGTGGTAGGAATGGTCCAGCAACTATGAGCAGCAATCATATCGCTTTCAAAGAGCACTTTTAATTGATGCCCGATTTCGAATTCTCTATTCTAAGTGCTAGCACAGAAGCACACATTTTTCATCAAACTTGGACACCCGCGGATATACACGACCACTCGTGTGTATTCATTCGTCAGTTGGATGGTCGGCAACCGACCAGATACACTAAACCCGAGTTTCAGGTACAACAGCTTGCACAAATAGACTTTGTGCCTTTTCATAAGCACTCTTGTTACGGCATGACCTCTGACGGTGAAGTACACTGCAAGAAGGGCATGGTAAGTAAATTTGCCGCATTTCAGGTCCCAAGTTTATTGAAGGCTTTGAGCGGGGTGGTAAATTAGCCTAACGCATCAGGTATTTGTTAAACCACCCGCTCAAGTCCGTGTGCCCCCATGGAACCATTCGACAAGCTTTGAAAGACATTCCCGGGCGTTGAACATACAGTTTCCATATGATTACACGAATGTCGTTATCAAGTCTGATAAACTATGGCATCTGCTTCTCAATGTTTAGTTTAGTTTAGTTTAGTATGTCTGAGAAGAAATGAACAAGTGACATAGGTTTGTTTACCAAACAGCATCGGTATTTTATGTAAGGCTGAGCGCAATTAGCGTTTACCACAATCTGCGCTGAAATTGCGCAGCTTCAGTACATCCGACCAGCTATACGGCCATACCTTCTGCTTTATCCGTAGGGTGTGACGGCTACAAACAGAGAACCTTCGGTTCAAACATCTTTTGGCACTGGAAATCATATGGTCCAGTACTTCAAGTTCATCCACGCGGGATACGAACACGCAGATAGGCAACCAAATGAACAGCAGTCGAAGCACTCTCACTGGATTCACCGTCATACTCTTTGGCAATCTCAAAAGGATACCGTCCAAGATGAGATCAAGAAGAAGATAAGGTTGACAGAAACTCAGGAACTGCGCCCACCTGATGGGCCTCGACATGGGCAAAACAAGTCATGGGCTGTCGAGGAGCTTTCAACAGCCTTATGAGTAGTCTGTAACACTTTCAAAATGTATGACTATATCTCAAATACCGTACAAACTAAAACATGAGACGAACTGGCGCAGCAGACTCAGTGGATGGAGACCAGCATAAACGAGTGATTCGACTGGATACATATCAGTCTTTCGTAAAAACCAAATTCGTGTGCGAATTCATGGCAAACATATAAATATCCCTCGTTGTCAAAAGTTGATTTGGTACATTTTCATTCTCTCGGTTTCTTTTTGAAAAGTCCGACTCGCTCAACCATAGTTTAATGTGCACGATAATATGCCCCGATAACCAAGTAGTTTTCTACATGTTTAATTGTATAAAACCTAGAAACGCACTCCCAGGAGAATCAGACTTCAACTGATCCCAGTTCATTTCCCCGTGATAGTGATTTGATTAGTTCCGATGTCTAGTATAGAGAAGCCAACCACATTTCCATGTGACTTGCGCAATGTGGTATGAATGATCGATTTTCGCGTTTATTTTGAAATAGGTTTGCTGGACCATCTTCTTCATCGGTCAACACAGGTGACCTTGGCAAGAGAATTCCCCAGCCCTATATTTTCCCCACTTGCCTATGACATCGACCGGGAACAACATCCGTCCTTCTACCACAACAGACAAGGTATGGTGATCCTGGACAAAGTTTTGAGTCACTTGGCGAGTGAGAATGAGTCCAGAGCAAGCAGTCATGCGTTTTTGTTAACCACAGCGACAAGCGTGGAAGTGGAACTAGAGAAGGTAATTAGTATTGTTGAAGCGTTTTCAGCAACCTTGTGAGTAGTGTCGTTTACAAAAAATTAGTATTGATGTTATCTGCATGCCTGTGGTTCAAGCTGGTTCGAGGTAGCAAAGAATAAAACTGAATGTGGGACCTGGACAGATGCTATCAGCTGGCAACAGAGAGTTATACATTCTAACATCTAATTTCTCTACATCCCAACTGCCATTCTCTACCTGCTGCGTGTGATAACTGCTGTTAAATCCTCGATGTGGCGTTCATTGCTCTCATTGGGTTCCGTCGATTGACGACCGGCTCAAGGGTGTTGAATATCACATTATGCTATTGTATTGTTCAGGCTAGAGTTCAAGATAAAGCAGTACTGGAACCGCAGTACCTTTCGATCCTTCGAACGCCCACCTATCCAGAGACTCATGGCCCTTCCAGGTTCGAAACTACCTAAATTTTCGGGAGATGCACACTGCTAATAACTCCAGGTGAGGAGAAAACTGCTGAACAAACTTGCTGGCTTTTCAGCATAGAATGGCTTCATTCAGAGGACGGAATCTCGGTTACCATTCTAGAATCTCTCACAGTAACATCAAGCCGTGAGCAGCACATCGCATGATTGCCAGTTCAACGGCACTTCCAATAACGAAGATTGAAGGATGAGTCTAAATGAGAGCTAGTCACACCGCTGACCAGCCACTCGTGACCAACTGCAGTTTCAGAAGGTTTGGTAAACAATCAGTGGATTTATTGCTGGGCAACGTTTCGCGACTGGTGCACGAGGCGGTAGAAATCGCCAAGCATCCCAGTGTGAATAGAATAGAGGGGGTAGAACTTGCAAACGTGTGGAGAGCGGTCTTAAATCAGCCGAGATACCACGAGGCGGTGTCCAGTTATCAGCGAAATGTTTTGGGTCCAAAAGCACAGAATCCATGTAGAGTTAGATCCAATTAACCACCCCATTCCCCATCCCCAAACCATTTGTCCCAACACCCTTTGAGGAACGAAATCTGTGAACGACCCAAAGAGAAATTTTCCATTAAGTTGTCCTAGACTGAAGAAGCAGGGACGAAAAAAATCCGGGTTCATCATAAAGACGACCCCCCTAACCGATCTATCGTAAATCTTAGTCATTCCCACTAACCAACAAACAGGAACATCGGACTGAACACCAAGCACTGATCAAGCCACTAGTTATAAACATCTCACGGACTGGTCCCCTGACTGCCTTAAAACCCAATCAACCTACTTACGTACTCACTCACTTGGCCTGAAGAAGCATTTGAGTCAAAAGCCAAACGTTGCCCAGCAATAAATGCACCAATTGTTT